AAAAAAAAAAAAAAGAAAAAATGTAAAGTGATTTTCTAAGTATTTCCTAACTTTATTTTTCAAAACGTGTATGAAAAAAAAAATTAAATTTAAAAAGATTTTTACATGTCAGAGAATAGAGAGTTAAAATTTAAAGAAAATGCTTCTTGGGAGAGAGAGATTTGTCTATGTTTCTAGTGCCTTTCTTGTCTTGATTGTATGGTCAGTAGGCAGTCTTAAATGTTTTTATTTAAAATAAAGTATTCCATGAAAGCAGAATTATATATACTATATAATTACTAATTTTTGCATTTATAGCTAAATTAAACTGGAAATTTGCTTATAATGTTGAAATTGCCATGTGTAGGGAAAAAAACCACCCCACCAAATAAAAAGGGTCCGATCTTGTTCACACATTGTGGGCAGGTCAAGCTAAAAAGTATCACTTTATTCTTGGTAGCTGGGTTTTAACAAGTAAAACAGCCATGAATTCCTGTTTTTTAAGAATTTTACAAATGATCACTGAGTGAACTACGTATAGTTTCTCCATCCCCTTTTGCAATGTTGTTGAAAAACAACAAAGATAATCTATTTCTTTAAAATATTTGTGCAGAAACTGCATGTAATTCTGAGTTTCACTCCTACCATACATACTGTATGTCTGGGGAAGTATCCTATCCTAAACTTGCCAATGCGCAGAACAAAAAAATAGTTTTTTTTAAAAAAGAATGAAGAAGAGAAAAATATATATATAAATATATATATATATATCCATTCTGTATTTTACGTGAAGCAGAGTTATCTTCTGTAGGTTTTTTGTGTATTCACAAGGTGATATTTGTATTGTAAAACAACAATGGTGAAGGAAAATAAAAAGGCTTTTGAAACGTGTAGTTTCCTTTATCTTTTTAATATTAAGTTGAAAATTTAAAGCTGGGTTTATTCTTCCAAACCTTGCCTTTAAGTTGATGTTATTGCACTGTAGGCCATCCAATTTGGACTGTATGGAAACTGCATTGATTTCGAATTGCTGTTGGGCAAAACAGTGCCTTATCTGAAATAAATGCTATGCAATCGATTCCGAGCGTGTGGGGAGCGGGAGTTGGGAGGAGCCTTCCTGGGAGCCATCACCAGGCCTTGAAAAACCTACCCCAGAACTGCTGGGACGGAGCACAGGGCAGGGGGAGCATCATCCACTGCCCCAGGGTCTGTCAGTCCCGGTGCTTGAACGCCAAAAAAAAACAAACAAAAAAAAAAAAAGGAAAAGAAAAGCAAATTTCTGTGAGTCCGTGGTGGTGAAAGTGTCGTTTCTTTCTTCTTTTCTTTCTTTTTTGGGGATGGTTTATCTCGACGTCTCTGCCCTGTTCCTCAACCTTGGTGAAAAAACTTCCTTGAGGAGCTGATGGGGTGTTGCTTCTGCTGGTTGTGGCTTGGGATGTTGAACAAGACCAACCCGTTCCTTATCAGTTCTCTGTCTGCCTGGGTGGGTGGGAGGGGGTTTCTTGGCCAAACCCTTTGCAACAGCATTTGCAGAGCTACCTGATAATGTAGGGCTCAGCTCTGCGTGCTTTGCCTTCAATTCACAGCTTTATCTTGGCAACTCTGGGGTTAGAAGTCACTTTTCAAAGCGCCCAGCCCCACCCCGGGGTGATTTTTGGGAAGGAATTCCCGCTCCCAGACGGAAAGCGAGGAGTAGGTTTTTCAAGGCCTGGCATCACGCACATCCAAACCATTGACATAAGTAAATGTATGGATATATATGCACATGACATTAAATGGAATCTGCTGAATCCTGCATTGTAGTGTCTGACTTACTGCATGGATGCTGCTCCACGTGGTCCCAGCTGTCCCACAGCGGAGCCGTGCTTTGGTGTGCAGGACCTTGGGAAAGGAGTCTGGGTGAGCTGGGACAGGGAGCTCAGTGCTGTGGCCTTGTGCTGGAGGAGGGGACCCAGGGAATGCTGTGCCTTGGGGCTGATCCAGAGCTGTGCTGCCTTGTCCTTCTCCTTCCCAGGGCGGATCTGCTCGGCAGCACCGTTTCTCCTCAGATGGGGGTGATGGCTTGTGATGGTGCTCCTTGTTAAGTGTTGCAGTAATGACCTAGGACCCCAAATTTCCCCCCCAAACCTCTCAGGTATGGTCCATCTACAGTGATTCATGCCCTGGTGTGTCCTTGCCCCAAAGCATGAGAGGATTCTTGGTGACGGCTCTGCTCAAAAATGTTATCTCCTGCCATCGGGATCCTGCGTGCTGGTAAAAAAGGGCTTTGGCCTTTCTTTGTTTAATAAACAACATTGTATAGCAGGCCTTATAATTGCTGTGAGGGCTATGGGGGCTGTCAGGATTATGTGGTCCTCCCAGGTCTTCTGGGGTTTTTTTTTAAAAAAAAGGAAATTTCAGTCCCTTTGTTACCTATCAGAAGGGTGTTTTTGTTTCAGAAACTTACAGAGAAGGTCGTGGTCTCCTGTGCATTTATAAGGGAAGAGTTTCATTTTACCTGATCCCAATTTTCATGGCTTGCACAAAATGAGCTCTCCAAGAGAGCAGGAAATGCTGTTTTTAAAGTGAAATGTGGATGCTGGAAGATAGGGTCACTTTCCTGAAATGATCTGTTCTTGCTGTGGAGGGATGAGAAGCTGAAAAATAAGGAGCAGAAAGGGAAGCAAATGCTTCATGGATTTACATTTCAGAGCCAGTTCTCTTAATTTATTTTTTTTCCTAGGGCATCTTAGATAGAGGGAGTTTGAATCCTCTTTCTTAACCATTTGGAAGCACAGTGTTTGCTGTATAAGGAAATGCATATTTGGCAGTCTGTGTTTACTGGTTTTCTTCCCTCAGCTTTGCCTTGTTCCTTCAGTGGATCCATTGATCCTGAGTGGCTTTAGACGTTTTTCTTGTTGAAAGTGAAAATCCTGTGCTGCTTGCAGTCCCTGGTTGTGCCTGGGAAGGTGACAGATTGGTGTCGTGTGGTAGCAGTGATGGGTAGAAGCCATTTTTCAGAAGGATAAATATTTTAAAGAAAACACAACTTTCTTTAGTGTCTTTTAGCACAAAATGGCAAGGGGAAGAAGTTGGAGGAGTCTTGGTCTTGGGAAAGAGGATGATCTGTGGGAACCTTTCATCTTATGAGAAGGAAATTTGGCATGTTATGATGTCACACGAGCACAGACTGATATCCAGGACCAGGCTGTCCAGGCAGGGCAGGACAAGGACCTCAAGGAAGTAATTTTCTGGGGGTCTGCATGCATTTAACAACTGTGCCTGCTTTCAAATCCCGCATTTCCTCCCACCCCAGCATGGAGTATAATTTCAGGGATGCCCTGAGCCCTCCAACCATGACTGCTGTTTCTTCCCAAGCTCCAGTTTCCTTCCAGCCTGGATCTGTAGAGTTCTGCTCTCAACCATCAGAGGTTAATGAGCAGGTCCCTGAGCATCAGGACAGCTTTTCCTTGGATTTTATTTTCCAGGCTAGGTGCTTCAGTGTGGCTGCTTTGGGGTGAGCATCGTGCCTCTGGTGGGACCGCTGTCCTTCCTCATGGTGGCCAAGCTGGTGACCTGTCACAGGTGGAAGACATGAGGTGCAGAAGCCAGGTGCATTTCCAGGACTTCTTTGGGGCAGTTTGTTGTTCCTCACTAGGTTGCCAGTGGCTCTGAGGAACCTGTTGGGCTGCTGTGTGATGATCTCTGTGTGCTCCACCTGGCACCATCTCGGTAATCCACCATCTCTGGAAGGAGCAGTTCACATTTCCCACAGGCAGAGGGATTTCCCAAGCCCTCAGCGCTTCACCTGAGGTCTTTGCAGTGCTGAAAGTCCCTTTTCTGCACCCGAAGGCTTGTTGCTTCCTGCAGTCCTGAGCCAGGGCGTGTGGGCATGGGCACGTCACCCAGGGGAGATGGGGAGCTGTAGCTCATGTAGCAGTCTTCTGAAAAGGAAAGCAATTTAAAATATTCCCCTCAAACATGTTTTGAGCTGTCAGCAAACTTCCTTTTCTTCCTCTGCCCCCACCAACAAGTGGTTTGCTCTTTCTGGAGTTACAGAGCCACAGGTGAGGCCTTTTCCTCAGCTCCCTGCAGTCCATGGGGTGAGGCTGGCAGGACACACCATCGCTGTGGCAGTTCATTAAAGCTCAGTTTCCTGGCTTTTCACGATGATCTAGCAAATGTTATCACCAATGCACAGCCTATTCCTGGCTCATCCCTGTCCCAGGGATGTCCCTGTGACAGCAGAGCAGCTGCTCCATGGTTTTGTCAAACAAGGCTCTTCACTTTCCTCTAAGGCCAGCGCAGGATTTGGGATGCCCTCGTGACTCAGACATTCCCAGCAGCACAGTGGTGCCCAGAGATACCCACATGGCAAAGCAGTTGGTTTCTCCACCGGTGGCAGAGGCAAGCAGGTTCCCTGGGAATTGCAGTGAGGAGATAAGGTATCAGTAAATCCCGTTTCTTCCAAGCAGCCAGTCCAAAAATCAGCGAGTCAAAGGGCGATACTGAACATGACCCTGGAGTGATGACACAGACCCTGCTCAGCACCAGCTGGAATGTTAACCCTTGGACTGGGGGTGCATGAGAGAAAAGGGGATGAAAGAGGAAAACTGAAACTCCTGAGCTGGGATGGAAAACGTCAGAGGTGATCCCAGCCTTGAATTCCCAAACAAAGTGCATGGATGCTGGAGGGAGAAAGGGGCATGGCTAGTTGGAGCTTTCCTCTCCCTTGCCACCACATCTGAGGGATGGGCTGGGTCCTGTAATATTTGGGAGGAGCAAACTGTCAAAACCCTTTGGATAAGGCATGCTTTAGCAGCTGGTGAATTTATCCAGACCTGTCCGGGACTTGAAGGGAAAACAGATGGAAAAAGCTTGGGTTTAACAAATGTAATAAATAAAAATATACTGGTTTACATTTAAAATACAATCCTGCTCTCAAGTTCTTCTTCTGGTAGAGTTTGGAAACCCTGAGGAGCAATCTTCTGTGAGGATTAGGAGTCATGGCCAGACTGGGAAGCAACCCTCATTCCACAGGCTGTGGAATTCCATCAAGCAGTGATGAAGCAAAGAGGAGGAAAAGATTCCCGTTCCCGAATTCCTCGTGCACCAGAGCTGATCAGTGCAATCCCAGGAAGGTTATTTTAGAGAGGCAGGTGCTGTCCCTAACTCAACATAAACACACCAGGGGAAAAAAAAATCCTCTCACCTCCTTGTGGGGTAGAAATTACTGATTGGTTTCTTCTTATCTTGTGCAGTGCTTGACTCACAGGGTTATACAGCAACAGTTTCCAAGCTCAACTTTTCAGCTTGGAGCAGGTCTGGAGCTGGGAGACGTTCCTCTGGCCGCTGGAACCAGGTGAGGGAACTCGGGTAGGTCTGCACGAGATTCCACTGGGATTCCATGGGATGAATGTTTATTTCTTTTGGTGTTGTTTGGGCTGGATCAGTGGGATAATGAGCACTGTCGCTGTGTGTGGTGCTGATGGGTTTGAGGCTGGTGCTGTGCGTGTCCAAGCCTGGCTGCCAATGCCACGCTTGGAGAATTAAAACAGGAGGAAGGAAACCTGTAACATTAGCTTTGTTGCCACTGGAATGTTTCCTGTGTGAAATCCAGCCCTGATGACAACTGCTGTAGCTCACCAGGGCAAAAGAAGCTGATAAAGAAAGGTCACCTAGAGCAGGTCTGGGTGACCACTTGGCTCTCTGGTGATGTTGTTTATCACTGCAACCTTCCCAAGCCCATAAATGCTCGTTTCAGCAGTTGTTTTCTGCAGGTCCCTTGTTTCCAGGGCACATTCCTATGAGGAGTAACCTGAAGGCAGGAGCTTTTCCAAGCCCCCTGACAGACTCACCCTAAGGCAAATATTACCTCCAGGAGAATCAGAGGCTCTGCCTCACTCTTCCCTTTCTAATCACAGGATCATCACAGACTCACAGGCTGGTTTGGGTTGGAAGGGACCTTAAAGACCATCCGGTTCCACCCCCTGCCATGGGCAGGGACACCTCCCACTAGCCCAGGTTTCTCCAACCTGGCCTTGGACACTTGCAGGGATCCAGCGGCAGCCACAGCTTCTCTGGGCAACCTGTGCCAGGGCCTCCCCACCCTCACAGGGAACAATTCCTTTCCAGTATCCCATCTTCTGACAGTGGGAGATCATTCCCCTGTGTCCTGTCCCTCCATCCTTCGTCCCAGGTCCCTCTCCAGCTCTCTTGGAGCCCCTTTAGGCCCTGGAAGGGGCTCTCAGCTCTCCCTGGAGCCTTCCCCTCTCCCAGGTGTCCATCTTCCCCATCTCCCTCACTGCAGTGAGCTGTGTCCAGGTGAGTTGGGGGCATCCCCAAGGACAGAGATCCCCCTCACTGCTCTGAACAAGGAACCCTTTGGAGCAGATTCATGGTTGGGTCACAGGCAGAGTGATGGGATCAGCAGTAAGTTTGATCTGCTAAGACATCTACGGACACATGGAAACATCCAAAGCTGTTTTAAAGGTTAATTCCTACCTCGTACAGGTGTTTACAGAAAGGGCAAAAGGCACATCTTAGCTCCAAGTGTCACTTCCCACTGGGCAAGCCTGAACTTTTGGGTGCAATTTTGGGCTGCCAGAGCAGGACAAATCAGAGAGGGAAACAGCATATTTTCCCATAGTTGTATTTTGCATGATTTTTCTTGTTAATCTTTAACCCAAAGCAAACCTCTGTTTTTAACCCAAAATAAACCTTCCATCTTTATAGAAGAAGGAAGAATAATATCCAAAAGCAAACCTTTTTTATATGCTGAAGAAATCCAGCATCAATACATAGGCTCTTATCTGGGAAAGCTGTCACAACCAGCACTTTTTCCAGCCAGGAGAGATTTGCACTTGGACCTGCAATGGGCTGTGCTCTTCTCATGCTGAGGTTGTTAAACTGACCTTTATTATGGTGACAGTATTGTTCTTTGATGTGCTCTGAGCATGTGAGCAACTGCAAAGCTGTGAGGCCTCAGGCTGCAGCATCTCCTCCAGGCACTCAGTGAACGTGGAGTCTGCTGGAATATTGTGGAGTTTATTTAAAAGATTCCTTGGGAAGGGTGAGCAAAGTGTTCTGGGAAACGTGGGGTCAGTAATTTGGGTGCTCACCCTGTCCTATCAGACCTCGTGACAGGGAGTGATTGCTGCTCCCAGGAGATATATTTCTGCTGTCTTAAGCAGATTGAAAAACCAATCTGCACTTCTCATCCTTATCTCTGCTGCTCTGGCACTGGGATGGGGGACACAAACCCTCAGCAGCTCTTGGAGGGCGTGATGTGTGCTCTGGGTGTGCTGTGCCCAACACTGGGGCTGTCCCATCTGTCCCTTTGTGCTTTCACAGTGCTCCCACCATGTCTGGGAAGAGGTCCAAGTGCTGCTCCTCGCGCCTGCGGGTGATCCTCATCGTGTGCCTGGGGCTGATGATCACGTTGACCGTGGTGCTCCTCGTCCTCCACTTCCTCAACAAACGCAGCAATGGCAAGTTGAGCTTCTTCAGTCCCAGCCTCCCACGCTGCTCCAGTGTGTGTCCAGTGCAGCCATTTAAAGAGGCACAGACAGAGGGGCACTGCTGAGCCTCCATCACCACCTCTGTGCACGGGCCTTTGGCCCAGCCTCAGCAGGGTGGTCAGACCTGGAGGAGCACCTGCATGGATGCACAGCCCTGGGTGTGGTGGGGCTGCAGGGATGCACACATCCTCCCTCCCCTGCCTCTGCAGAGCCCTTCCCTCCTGGCCCTGCACAGAGGGGCTTCACAGCTGCTGCCATCCCATCACAGCCCCTTCACGTCTCCAACCCCATCCCCAGGCACAGGGTAGGTGCTGGGGGCTGCCCCAAGTTCACTCTGCCCCTGGACAGGGCATCGCCCCACACAACCATCAGTGGGACCTTCCAGTTCCTGGAATTTGATCTCAAATTGGCTGCAGTTCACACTTCCTTCGTGGGTTTGGGTTGTAACAGGTGAGAGTTTTGCGCAAGGGATTCTCCTCTGTGTTGTAGGAGGAGGGAGAAGGGGAGGAGGTGGAGGAAGGGTAGTTTTAATGGGTTCACTGACGACAATTTAAATCACAGAAACGGCCAGTCTGTGGCCAGCGTGAGTGTTTCACTTCTCTGGTTTTGGTGACAGCCTAGGAAAGGCCAGACTGGGAAGACTGAGCATCCCCTTATCCCAGTGTCCTGCCTTGAGAGGCAGCAGCTGCCTGGGGAAGGCTGTGAGAACAGAAATATTCAATATTTTCCCACAGTATTATCTCAGCCTCCAGTGATCTGTGGCTCTGGGATTTCCTGAGATGCAGATAACCTTATTTATTTATTATTATTATTATTTTATAGCCCTCCGTGGCTTTTGTTCCATGAGTTTATCCATCCTGTAAGGATTTCTGCACCTTCACGATGGCTGGGGCAAGACACGACCTCCTTTGGCAGTACTTTTCCTCACCATTTGCCTGGAGGTCATTGCCCAGAGCTGCTTTTCCCTTCTTTGAACCTCAAGTGGCTCTGCTTCAATTTTTTTGAGGAGGACCAGGGTGCCAGCACTGGACACAGGGTGTGTTGGAGGCACCAGGGAAACATGCGGATGTTTTTTCTTCCCTGGTCCTTCCCAGCAGCTCCTGACATGCCATCCCCTTTTTCTTGCCACTGCTGAGCTGGTTTTTTTGTGTGAAGCAGCACTTGTACCCTTGGATCTGTTTCCTGTGTGGTGGTGATGGGCTTGGAGAGTTTAATTGGCAACCCTGGGCTTGTTTCCCCCTCGCTGTGTGTCCCCACACGTTTTCCATGGTCCAGTGACACCATCCTGTGACCTCCTTCTCTAGTTCCTCATGCCTGGTCCACCCTTTACCACCCCAAATGCCTTCACAGCCTCAGCACACTTGGACCACATCGACAGCCCACTGGAAACCCAAGCAGAGGACTCAGCTAGACCCCCTTGCCCAGAGTCTGCTGGGTCCTCTGGGGATGTCCAGCAGATTTTGGGTGTGGATTCTCTTGAACAAAACTGGGTTGCCTCTTTTGTCTCCAATTCTGCTCCCTCGTGTGTCCACTGATCTACTGGTTATTGTTCTTACAGATTCCATCAACATACCAGAAACAGCAAACTACTTGCTGGGCGTAGGTCGAGCTGACTGCACGGGACCAGTGGCACAAGTTCCCTTGGTAAGTTGGGGGAATCGAACGTGGGGTTGGCAAAATACTGATTGTTCATCACCCAACAGTGCTTTTTGCAGGGTTTCTGGTTCAGAGCCTTTGCCTCGACAAACGTGTGTCCCCTGCAAACATTCAGTGACGTTTCTTTGAGGCTTGGATCAACCTGGTCCAGCGCAAGGTATCCCTGTGGCACAGGGGTTGGAGTGAGATGAGCTTTAAAGTCCCCTCCAGCCCAAACCATTCCATGATCCTTGCACTCACAGGGCAGGGCAGAGTTGCAGCTGGGAGTGTTTATGCGCTGAATGAGTCCTCTGACGCTCCGGCAAATCCACCCGGAGAAGTTCACGCAGGTGAATGCATCCCTCCTTATTTTGGCTGGGTGGACTTGAGGGAGCTGTTCCCTTGCAGATGGGCTATGCCAACCCGGAGCAGGCGGCTGGTGGGCTCCTCACACGCCTCTACAGCCGAGCCTTCATCATGGCAGACCCTGACGGCTCCCGGCGGGTGGTGTTCGTCAGCGCTGACATAGGGATGGTGTCCCAGAGGGTGAGGCTGGAGGTACGTGGCTGGGAGTGAGTGGCTGCCACAGGGTGGGCTCTTGCTGGTGTTTGCATGAGGGTTATAGTTTATGTAGGGTTAGGTATTAATAGTCATCACTAAATAACATCCAGCTCGGCAGCGCGTTGGCCCTTTGCTTTGGGATTTCCCTGCAGCACCTTCTTGGAGAGATACTGTGCCTCTGAGGCAGAGGAGCTGTTGATTCCTCGCCATGAGACTGCACTTTGCCCATGCTTCTCTTAGCAGAAAAATTATCAGGAGTCCATTGGAATCAGGAGTACATGATCGTGGTGACTGTGTAATGTTGGGTCTCCAGCAGCACAGAGGAGAGAGGGAGATGCTGGAGAACTGTGGACTCCTTGGATGATCTGGGGTTCACTTCAGGTTGACCACAGAGGTCTTCACTTACCAGATTTTATTATTTTGAGGATCTTGCCGAGTCAACAACTGTAACCTACTTGTGCCACCAACATGGGAGTATCAGGCAGAAAGAAAGGAGTGAGGAGGAGGATGAATGGTTGGGGTTTTTTTGCAAGGGCTGGCACAAATCTCTACAGATTTTAGGCACGAAAAAGGGCTTTTTAAGACCACCTCCTTCCCCTTAGGTGCTCGAGAGACTGAAGAGCAAGTATGGTGACCTGTACCGGCAGGACAATGTCATCCTCAGCGGCACCCACACGCACTCGGGGCCGGGGGGGTACTTCCAGTACACCCTCTTCTGGATCACGAGCAAAGGGCTCATCAGACCATCCCTCAACTCGATCGTGAATGGCATCGTGAAGGTCGGTGTCACCCCGTCTGACCCGCGGGTGACTAACAGAGCTCTGCCTGTGATGGTTGTGGCAGCACCTCTGAATGCTACAGTCTTAAACACACTTGGAGGGGGGGTTGTGTCTACCAGAGAAACCAGATCAAAAAGCCTTAAATTCTTTCTTTAGAGACAATTGTGAGTAGCTTCAAAATATAGTTTTCTAGAATTTTAGGCTGCTTAAGGAAAAAAAATAAAATTAAATAAGCACCCCTAAACTCCCAAGAAAGGGTTGGGGACAGATAGGAAGGGAAAGAGAGAGGTTTTTCTAGATAATGTCATGTATGCCTTACAGACATGGACTAATATTCCCTGTCTTTCTACTTTCCAGAGCATAGACATAGCACATGAGAACATGAAGAGAGGAAGGCTTTTTATAAACAGAGGCACTGTAGAAAAGAGCCAGATCAACCGAAGCCCTTTCTCCTATCTCGCCAACCCAGCATCTGAGAGAAGCAGGTAAGAGCTCCCCAAGCAGGAGGGAAACAGAGCCCCGAAGAGAATCCTTCAGCTGGGACCTTGAGCAGCCATCTGGCAGTTGGTGTTTCTGGTCATTCACGGGAGGGTTGGAAATGTGGAGTCAAGGTGTGGCAGAATGACGCTGTTGTCATCCTGGGCTCCTGGGTGTGTCCCCAAACATCAGTTTCAAGAGTGGGCTTCAAAGTTGTGCTCTCCAAACATGTGAGACATTGGTTAAGGATGTGAACTTATGCTTTATTTATTTAAAAAAAAATATTCAGGTGGCATTAAAGTGCCATCCTTGGTGCGTGAATTTGTATTTGGAGAGAGCTGCTCTCTCCACCCCCTGGAGAGGCAGCTCCTGAGGACAACCATAACTCTTCCCTTCACAGCTGTTTTCAGATGCTACTCTGAGGTCTCACTGTGCTCTGGTAATACCTGGCACAACCTTTTTATTTCCTTGTTCAGCCTAGTGGAGATTTAACATGTCAGAGCACTGCAGAGTGTGACTACAGCTCTGGTGCTAATGAGGTTTCCCTGCTTTGTTTTCATCCAGATATTCATCCAACACAGATAAAGAAATGGTGATTCTGAAGATGGTAGATGAAGATGGACAAGAGCTAGGCCTTATCAGGTACTGACCACCAAAGCAGCACTTTTTCCTTCATATCCTCATTCTTTTTTGTTAGAATGAAGGTGTTTCTTTTTCCCCCCTTGTTTACATCGTTGACTCCTCCTTGTTTCTTTGAAGTAAGAAAATAAAAAGCCCCCTGCAGAGCACAATTCTCTGGATTAGTAAAAGAGTCAGTACAGGTCTGAACTGCCAAATTCTTGTGGCCTCAAGACTTGGATTGTCACAGCCATGCACCCTCCTGGCTGGGAGAGGATGGGAATACTCTGCCCTTGTTAATTCATCCCTAAGTACCTGGAGTCTGTGTTTGTATTCTCCCAAAGAAAATTACACAGGTCGACTGCAAATATATAGATTGAACAGGTCAGCTGCCAACACAAAGCCTGAACAATGAGTGTCCTGTGCCTCCCCCCCAGCTGGTTTGCTGTGCACCCCGTCAGCATGAACAACACAAACCACCTCGTGAACAGCGACAACGTGGGCTACGCGTCCTACCTGTTCGAGCAGGACAAGAACAAGGGAATGCTCCCTGGAGAGGTGGGAGTGCTTTCAGGCTGCTGGAAATAATGGGTGGAAAAGGGCTGCAGCACGGAGGGGGTGGCTGGTGCTTTGCAAGGGCCAAAGTGGGTTCTTTCAAACAGCGAAGGATAAACACAGAAAAAGGAGGACAAAACCGAACGCTCATGATTTAATTATTTCTTTTCCTTTAGAGGAGAGAAATTGGAAGGTGTTTTCTTGACTTTCCAAACTAGTAATTAGTGGCATTTATTTAGACTTAAATAATAAATCACGTTTGTTTTGATTAGACTATTGGAAATTGGAGAGGTGGTGGCTGTCTCATCCCTACCAGTGTTCAAAGATGGGCTGGATGGGGCACTGAAAAACCTGGTCTAGTGGAAGGTGTCCCTGCCCATGACAGGGAGTTGGAACTGGATGAGCTTTAGGTTCCCTTCCAACCCAAACCATTCCAGGATTTTATACTAGCAAGACACGTGCAGGATACTTGATCCAGAGGGATCCATTTATTGCATCTGTGGGGTGGCATCAAGCCTGTGCTCAGCCCCACTTCTTTCTCATGGCTTCCAGCCAGTTCTGCCTTGTGATTTGCATTTACCCAGAAGATTTGCCATCCTCAGACTGCAGACACAGCTCCTTTAAAAAACATTATTTCCTCTGAAATGTTACTGTGGACACAAACCCATCTCACAGGTACTTTGTGTCACTAATTGATTGAGAGGCTGTCCTGGGTGTATCTCCAGCAGGTACCTAGAAACTCTTGCCCAATTTCTCTTTTAATGCTCTGGGAACATGTGTGGTTCACGGCAAAAAATGGAAACTAGAGGAAGTCTTCCTAATTTCTGCTTGCAAGTATTTCTTTTTGTGGTGGATTCCAAAAGCTTTTAACAAAACTCAGCTTTAGTGCATCATTACGGGTGCAAGTCAGTGGAAGTTGACACACTAAGAAGTGTTTGCAGGATTCAATATTTGGCACATTGTGTCTAGGAGCCTTACAAGAAAATGAATTAAGAGATGATAATATATCAGAATAGTTGGTGTTGACATGTTCCAACTCTAAAAAGGTGGGTGGGAAATGAAATATCTGTGAGAGCTGAATTCAGCCAGTGCTCAGTGTGCAACCAGCTTTGCTTCTGACAGGTACTGCTTGATGTTAACTCCTGCAGATCCAATAGCTCTCACCCTGTAAATCAGTCACAGTGAAAGCCTGGCAGGAAAAAATAATTCTGTGCAAGGTGCTACAATGATCACTTGACATCTGATCCGTAACACGAGAAACTGGGGACGTGGAGGGAAGAGCTGCCACTGAGACACAAGAGGGACATGGAGAAACACTGTCTGGATACCAAAGCAGACTGAAGGCCACCCTGAAATGGCAATTGCTTCCTGGGTGTCCAGTTCTCCTTTGCTCTTCCTGCCCCTAACCCCTGGGATATACCTAAATCCCCACTCCAGTCCTCCCAGTCGCTTCGGAAATGTTCAGCAGCATCACGGGCTCACCAGCTGGTGGTAACACCAGCTCCAGGGAAAGCTGCAGGGGGTGTTTGCACTCACTGCAAAAGTCCCTCTGAGCACCTCTGGGTTTGGCAGGGCTCTTTTGTTGCTGCCTTCGCCTCCTCCAACCTGGGAGATGTGTCGCCCAACACCCGAGGCCCAACCTGCGCCAACACGGGCGAGTCGTGCGACAACCCCCAGAGCTCCTGCCCCGTCGGAGGGGTGAGTGTGTCTTACCTGTTGTGCCTCAGACACCCCATTTCCTGCAGTTTGCCTTGCTGCCCGGGTCAGTGCAGTAACCCAGTGCCTAATTTTGGCAGGAGGCTGGCAGTTCCCACAGCAGGACGAGCCCTTGTGAGCTCTCCTGCTTGGCAGTGCCGCGTGTTCTCCTTGGGAACTGATCGCTGCCATTTCAACCTGTTTCTCCACAGGCAGCCATGTGCATGGCCCAGGGTCCTGGGAATGATATGTTTGAGAGTACAAGGATTATAGGGCAAAATCTCTACTCAAAAGCAAAGGTAAGTGATATTTCGCTTGGCAAGTGTGCGTGAGAGCTTGTTATGACAGGAATGCACGATCATTTAAACAACTCAGTGATCCCTTCCAGCTCAGGGTATTCTGTATTCGACATTCTATCTATCTTTCATGAATGTTTGTAGATGTAAATTACTCCAAAGTCCACATTTGTATGCTTAAGGAAAAGTTTCTTGATTATTTTTTTTTTTTTAGTGGGTAAATGAGGTTTTATTGATCTTTCTATCTGTTGCCATCAGAAGAATTTGTTAAACTTAGGGCAGTGTATGAAATCATAATGGTAGTAAAAAACTTCTTCTGGTGTAACATATCTGACTAGACACCTAAATTTAGAACAGAAAGCACACACTTAGATATATTAGCACGTATTTAGATACATCAGCACATATTTAGATACATCGTTGTAGGTGTTGTGGTTTCAAAATGTCAGTTTGGGTTTTAATCTCAGTGTTCCTCATAGGGATATAACATAGATCTTGCCCCTTGCCATCTCCCCCTCCCTCCCACGCACACATCTCAGAGGTGGAAGAGCTCAGAGACACCACCACACACCACTTGTTGGCATCACACTCCTAAACTAACACAAATGTGAGTTAAAATGTGCCAGATTAAACACCCATGGAAGATACTCACCTTGCCCTGCTTGGCTTTGCATTTACTCAGCCGGTGTCCTCCATCCTATGGGCTCCCTTGTGTCACCTGAGGGCTCAAAAGCCACCTGACTTTACTGTTTCCCCTCCCGTGGCTTCGTGTAATGTGAGAGTAGTCAGTGCAAGGAGAGTTTTTGGCAATGTTTCAGGGACAGCAGCTGGTAGGAACTGGAACATGTCCAGCAGGAGGCTTGGTGGTGGTGGTTTCCTTTAATCACCATTTCAGATCCTTGCCCTGAAGTTACTCCAGGCTGATCGTGACTTGCAAGATTGTCCCAGTCAGAGTGTCCTGGTGTGTGTAAAACAGAGAGGGGAAACACTGCAGTTGTTTTCAACACCTCGGACTCCTGACCTTCAAAGGCTGCACCCTCAATTCCTTCCAGGAACATCATTAAACTGTACGACTTCTGGCAGCACTTTCTATGTCCCAACCCGAGGCACGTGGGCTGGCAACTGTTCCCTGAAGAGCTGACTGGCTTAGCTGTCAGCTCTGTGCTAAATACATGGTAAAGTCCAGGCACTTCTGAGCAATGAATACAGCAAAGTATTCTTTCTCCTAGAAAACACTCCTTCTGGTTGGTCTGGGCTGTGAGAAATGCCAAAAGGTGGCACCAGGAACAAAAAGTTGCCCCCCTTGTGAAATAGGTGCCTGTTTCAGCTGTAGAAGAAAGGCATGTGTAAAACTGCTGACGACAGAGTGTCCTCCCTCCCTGAGACAGGGAGAGCTTGCAGGGCTCAGGGCGAGCAGGATGTAGGGATGGGGTGATAGAAACACCTTGTGGGCTTAGGAAATACACTCTTGCTTTAAATACCTGGAAGAGGCCATGGGAAGGCGTCAACTGAATAAAGAAATAATCCACGTGGCTGTGTCTCAGCAGGGCTGGCTTCCTGACTGCTTCTTCCTCAAGGATTTCCACTTTGTGTGTCCCTTAGGAGCTGTATGAAAAGGCCTCCCAGGAGGTCACGGGGCCCCTGAGCTCAGCCCACCAGTGGGTGAACATGAGTGACGTGTCGGTGGAGCTCAATGCCACGCACACGGTGAGAGCGGCGGCTCCCGGGACACGGGGACCAGGCAGCAAGAAAGGTCAGAGTCCCACAGCAGGACCTGGCACGCCGAGGGGAGCTGGGGTTTAGCCCTTTTTCCTTTTTTTTTCTGCCTGCCTGATTTAGGTTAAAACATGTAAGCCAGCCCTAGGACACAGCTTTGCCGCGGGGACTATCGATGGCGTGGGCGCTTTCAACTTCACACAAGGTAACCTGGGGGGCAGGTGTCACTGTGGCTTTGGACAAACAGGGAGGACACGGTGCATCCCCCAGACAGACTGAACTCCCTGGAGGCACTTGGCAACATCAGCTGCTGGCTGAACCACAGCCTCCAAAGGGATGTTTTAGGGAAGGTGTGACCCTCCAGCCCCCGTGCAGGTTTGTCTGTGTGCGTCAGAAAGCTTCTGGAGAAGGAGGATATGGCCGTGCCCTGAAGGAGGGAGAGCACTGGATGGGGAGTGGGGAGAAGAAAGACCTGGATTTGGGACACTCTTTCTCGTTTGTTCTCATTACCTGAAGCCTGCCAAGATGGAGCTCAGCTGAGCTAAAGCTCAACTTTTCAAACCACCCCAGGAAAGGGCGATGGTCAGAATCCACTGAGGAATATCCCACCCCACCTGAGCAGGGAGGGGGTCGTGTCTGCCTGAGAGCTGCTGGGGCAGCTGATGAACAGTGTTTTAAAAGGTGTTTCCCCCTCAAGGCGCAGTAGAAGGTGACCCGTTCTGGGATCAAATCCGGGACCAGCTGCTGGGAGAGCCATCAAATGAAACAAAAGCCTGCCACAAACCCAAGCCAATCCTCTTCAGCACGGGAGAGGTAAGGACACACCAGTGTGTGCCCTGGGAAGCGCAGAGATTGCTGATCTGGGCTGGGATCAGCAATCCTTCACAGATTTGTTAGGGGGCTACAGGAGTTTTCTGTGCCAGCCCACATGGTGAAGAACACGGAGGGAGAACAAGCTGCAGGGGCTCTGAAGGAATGAAAATAGAAAGCAAGAATAAGTGTTGGCATTAGTTTGCATCAGAGTGAGAGAGGTGGAAGTTTTCCTCTTTCAGAGCATCTTTTCCATGTGTCCCAGGAGGAGAGACCACACTTCCTGCTCTCATTAGGGCCAAAAAAATCCAACTGAAGATCTACGCCTAGTTCTCTGCCTGTGAAACAGCCCTGGGCTGGATGCGCAGGGAAAATGCGTGAGGTCAGGGAAGCCACCAGTGTGTGGAGCTCAGCGTTGCCTCCCAGCAGTCTCTGGCTCCAGGACACCCATCCTCTGTTGGTGCTCAGATCCTAAAAGCTCTGGGTGTTTCTTTCTTCTGTCCTGCCATTTGTTTCCTACCTTAATCCATGGAAGGACCTTTCCTCTTGTCAAAGTATGGACTGGTCCATGCAAAATGAACCAACTCATCATGGTGCCCTTTGGGAACTCTGGGGACTGAACCAACTTGTCCACCTTCCTCACTATTACATTCCAAGGTTTCTTCAGAGTGTTGGCTTCCTCTGGAAGTGTCCTGTTGACTTCTCTGCTTTTCTGTCACATTTGTGCAAGTGTGTGATACTTCTGTGAGCTGCAGCATGGACTGATGCCAGGCTTGCTCATCCATGGGCAGAGTCACAGCAGGCTCAGGCTGGAAGTACCCTGGAGTGAGGTTCCCCAGCATGATACTGCTCCCAGCAGGACCAACCCTGCAGCTGCACCAGGTTGCTCAGGGCCATGTCCAGAAGAGCTGGGATAGTCAGCAAGGATGGAGAGCCCTCAATACATGTGTCCCTATCCACAGGGAAGGGTTATTTCTTAGGCCCAGCCTCTGCAGAGCCACTGCTCTGTTGGTCCCAGCCCATCCCCATGCTCGGGGCTGCTCCATCCTGGGCAAGACTCGGTGTTTGTTCTTACTGAGCCCTCCCAAAATCCTTCTTACAGCTTTAAATGAAAATTGATGCCCCATTTCCCACCTGATGTTCCCTTGGCATTAAGACAAATGCACTGCAGTGGAGCAGGATCATGTCCAAGGTCCTTTAGAGCACTTAGAGGATGCCATCTGGATGATTGTTATTCCTTTCACCAGTCTCCTTAAAAGCTTTCCTTCTGTCACTTTGTGTTCAATCAGCTCCTCACCTCATATCCCCTAAAAAGAGGTCCCAGCTCCTCCCACCCGCCTCCTCCATCTAGAATTGTGTCACTGAGAGGAAATTACACTTTTTTCTTACAACTTCATCACATTTGATGGATGCTCTGGCAGACCTCCTGCTTCTGATGTGAGGTTTTGTCATTCGGGCTTTGACCCCAGTAAATTGCCCCTCAAAAAAACCCTCTTTTTGGCTCACTGCAGTGGGATTTTGCATTTCATTTGCTGGAGCTGTGCCAACCTTGAGCTCTTGTTCCCGATTTCCTTTTAACTGGCTTTTTCATTTCTATCTATTTTTTTGCCGTTGTTTTCAGATGAAATGCTGCTCTGTGTGTGTGTGTTTTGGCTGCTGCAGTGGTGCTGAGCCTGAGCATGGTCCCTGCTAAGGGGCAGTTGAGAGTCAGGGTTAGGTCGAGGGTTCCCTGAGCATCATCACTCTCTAGGAGAAAACTCCTCCTCGGGGTGGAACTCCCCCTCTGGGAGACCATGTAGTGACAGACTGATAGAGAGGAGGTTTAGGTTAGAAATTAGGAAGGAATTGTTCCCTGTGAGGGTGGGGAGGCCCTGGCACAGGTTGCCCAGAGAAGCTGTGGCTGCCCCTGGATCCCTGGAAGTGTCCAAGGCCAGGTTGGAGGGGGCTTGGAGCAACCTGGGCTGGTGGAAGGTGTCCCTGCCCATGGCAGGGGGTGGAACTGGATGATCTTTAAGGTCCCTTCCAACCCCAAACCATTCCATGATTCTGATGAAGAGGGAACTCTCATTTCCCTCATTCGCTTTTGCTCTCCTGATCAGATGTTCAACCTTATCAATCCCAACTCTGTCATTTTTCCATGCAGATGAGGGGTTTATAGGTGCTGTCCTGACCTTATGTCACCCACTTGGCTTTAAGCTATCCCTCTGGCAACACCCTGTTTGTTTGTTTTTTCCAAACCAAGTATTTCCACGCGCCCTGTGTGGCTGTGATGTGGCTGAACTAAAACACCCTCTCCCGTGTTTTACAAACAAATCGAATTTAATTTACAAATAAACTTACCAACCGGTTTATGACCGGAGGAAGGAAAACATTCCAGCTATTTTTTTTTTTTTCCCTCCACCATCCTGAAGTTGCTGTACCCACTTTTTATGCCCCCTCAGATGACTCGGCCCCACCCGTGGCACCCGGACGTGGTGGACGTGCAGATCGCTGCCATCGGATCGCTGGCCATCGTTGCTGTGCCCGGAGAGCTCACGTGGGTATCCCTTCAGGAGAGGAATTTATTCATTTATTAATTTATTGCAGCCAACAGCATTTCATTCAAACCCCCTGCGACAGTTCTGTGTGCAGGTAGAAAGGGGGAGTAGGATAAAAATTGTCCTTATTATAATATATATATTTATATATAAACTCACCATGGGAATGAACGAGATGGAAACAGGTTTCCTAAATAATTTTAAGTGTTCATGGCAAAATGCAGGTTCAATGAAACAAAAGGAACTTGTTAACTTTGATTTGGTTTTTGATAATGAGCTGCACTGACTGTTGGTGGTACAATGGTGAGAGTCTGAGCAGGATAATGATTTGTCTCCAGCACCTTTATGTCTGTCCTGTCTCAGGGTGTCTCCAGCCTCACCCAGGCTGTGGTGATAAGTGAGAAATCTTTTGAGGTGCTTTGGTTGAACTTATCTCAGAGGGGCCTTAAGGGATGCTGAACAGTGCTGGAGGTGCTGTGGGAGTTTCTGGTGGGGTGCTGCAAGTCCAACCAGTGGTTCCTGCTTTAGCTCCCTGCTCTGCAAATCCCTGACAGGAGGGGGGAGCCGGGGGGGGGGGGG